GGCTGTTCTTGCTGATCTTCTGGGGGCGGGGCCTGTTGCTGTGGTTCCAAAATGTCTTTGCAGGAGGCGGAATTGCCCCGCCCTTGTCGTCTGGGCTAAGTAATCTGCTGGGGTTTGCTCTCGGGATCTTTTGTTCTCTGTAAGCTTTCGGTACAGCTTTGGAGGAGGAGGGTGAAAATGGCAGCCTCCCACTCTCCACCCTGGAGGAGCCAAGAACTGGGGCCCCCACTCCTCATGCGCCCCCAGAGAAAAGCAGTCAATCGCTCCCATCTCCCCGGTCTCTGGCCACACTCTATGCTCACCGAGCCTGTGACCGAGCATTTCTATCTCTGGCACCCGACTCGGTGTGGAGTCTCCAAACCCAGCAGATCCCTGCGGTGTGCTCCTGTGCTGCTCCTTCCAGGTGAGGAAGGGGAGTCTCCCCAGATCTGCCGCTTGTTGGGTCCCTGCTGGAGGAGCAGTGCCCTGACCTTGCCGTGGATCACAGTTTATGGTAATCCCGAGCTGAGAGCCTGCTCCTCGGCTCCGTCTCTGCACCCGGCTTCCCCGCTCCGATACCTGGGAGCTGTGCCGCACTCAGGCACCCCTGGTCTTTCTGTGACTCTGAGGGTCCTGAGACCACACTGTCCCGCGAGGGTTCCACCTCCTGCTTAGCCACTGGAGCGACGTCCCTCAGCGGAGCTGACTTCTAAAAGTTCCGATTTTGTGCTCCACTGCTCTATCACTTGCCAGAAGTGGCCGACGGAGGCCCCCTCCACTGTCTATCCTCCCGAATATCACCTCGGATTCACTTCTCCACACATCCTACCTTCCAGAAAGTGGTCGCCTTTCTGTTCAGAGAGTTGTTGCTATTCTTTTCTTCCATCTCCTGTTGAGTTCAGGTGTTCAAGATGGTTTGATCCCTATCCAGCTGAATTCCTAAGACCAGACGAAATCCAGGTTCCTACTCCTCCGCCATCTTGCTCCGCCTATCTGGGCCACATATCTTTCAAGGGAATGAATGTGGTTGATGCCTGTCACAGCTAACCCAGTGCATCTTTGCCACATTCCTTTATGCTTCACAGTTTATGAGTTTGTGATTCTTCTCAGACATACTCATTCCGAACTTAAAGGTAATAATGACATCCAAATAGGTAAGATAGAATTCAAATGAAGAATTGAAAAGTGAATATATTTTTGTGTGACACGTATGGGACCCAGTATCATCAGCCCTATTTTATACTTTTTTTCAATTGAATCTGCCTCCTTTCACTCAGAAAATCACATCCCCTCCCCCCTCTCTCCCCATTTCTAGCTTCTTTACCTCTGTGTAACTCTTCATCCTTCTACCAACTATCCAGAGCTTAATCTTTTTTTTATTGTGGTAAGATATACATAACATAAAATTTACTATCTTGGCCACTTTTAAGTGTACAGTTCAGTGCTATTGTATGCATTCACATTGTTTGCAACCATCACCACCCACCACTCATCTCCAGAACTCTTTTCATCTTGCAGGGCTTTAACTCTGCACCCATTAAACACTAACTCCTCACTCCTCCCTTTCCCAGCCCTTGGCAACCACCATTCTGCTTTCTCTCTCTGTGAATTTTACTACTCCAAGTACCTCATAGAAGTTGACTTACAAAGTATGTGTCTTTTTTGACTGAAGTATTTCACTTATTATAATATCCTCAAGGTTCATCAATGTTGTAACATGTGTCATTGTATTGTATATATGTATACATAAACACACATGGATATTTTAATTTTACATTTCATATTTATAATTTGAATATTATGATGTTTTGATATCTTAAAAACTTCTTGATTGAGGACAGACTGCTCCTCTGGGGCTAGCCAATTCTTAGAGATAGCAAAGGGCCTAGCCAGGAAGGAGTATACCTTTGGTATGCAGGCAAACCAGTCCAGAGCTGTAGTCGCTCTTTTTGGCCCTTACACTACAAGAAGCAATATTCTTCTGCCTTAATCATCCCAGGACCACTAGAAACCACTGGAATTATTCAAACTAGCCAATGTTAGTTGTCTATCCTGCCTTGCTGTGTCTCTCCCATGGAAACCCCATTTATGATCGTGGCATAAGTGCCTTCTCCCTCTACCTTGCCCTGGCTTCTGCCTCCTGACCACTCTGGTGTTTTTCTCATGTGGACCTGCAAGTCATATGTCCAGTCTCTAGGACTTGTGAATATAATAAACTTCGTTATTCTGAGCCTTTTCTCTTGTGGCTACATGTGACTAACCATCACATAAAAGAATATAAAACAGTCAGAATCTCCATCCTTTTTAAATCTGAACTATATTCCATATAAATATGCTACATTTGGTTTATCCATTTCTCCCTCTATGGGCACTGGGTTGCTTCTACCTGTTGGTTTTTGTGCATAATGGTGCTATGAATATGGGTGTACAAATATATGTCTGGTTTTAATTCCTTTGGGTCTATCGCCAGAAGTGGAATTACTGGGTCATGTAATTATATGTTTAATTTTTTTTGAAGAGTGCCATACTGTCTTCTACAGTGGCTGTATCATTTTACATTCCTACCATGTGCAAGAGTTTCAGTTTCTCCACATCCTTGCCACCACTTGTTATTTTCTGTTTTGTTGTTTTTCATGGACGTGAAGTGGTATCATAATGGAGGTGAAGTGGTATCTCATTGTGGTTTTGATTTACACTTCCCTAATGACTGGCGCTGTTGAGCATCTTTTCATGTGCTTAATGGTCATTTGTATATCTTTGAAGAAATGTCTAAGTCCTTTGTCCATTTTTAAATCAGGTTTTTTTTTGCTTATTTATTGTTGAGTTGCAGGAGTTCTTTCTCTGTTGTGGATTAACCACATATCAGATATGTGATTTGCAAATGTTCTCCCCCATTCTGTGGGTTGCCTTTCCACTCTGTTGACTGTGTCTGATATACAGAAGTTTTTAATTTTGATATAGTCTAATATATTTATTTATTTTTTGTTGCCTGTGCTTTTGGTGTTCATATCCAAGAAATCATTGTCAACTCTAGTGTCATGAAGTTTTCCCTCATGTTTTCTTTTAAGAGTTTTGTAGTTTCTGGTTTTACCTTTCGGTCTTTGATCCATTGCATGTGGATATCCAGTCTAACCAACACTATTTGTTGAAGAAACTGTCCTTTTCACATTTGAATGGTCTGGGCTCCCTTGTCAAAGATCATTTGTCAGGGCCTAATTTTGAGTCTTTGAATTATAAACCATGAGCCACCTGTGGCCAGGCTCTTTCCTGGGTGCCACTGTCAGAGCCAATTTCTTAAAAGCTCCTTTTACTTTAGCATGATGCTTCTTAAAAGAGCATTTGCTTAAAACAGTTAATTTTCCCCTGGTTTTGTGTGCACATGTGTGCATCCGTGTGTGTGTGTGTGTGTGTGTGTGTGTGTTTATTCCAAACCGTTATCCCTTAAAACTTTTATTGCACTATTGCACTTAATACTCATTTGGCACTTCCCACTTCAAGTTAAGGTTTTACGTCTGTAGGTCTTTTTTAATTTAATGAGAGTAAGAGCTCTGGAAGCCTAAACTCTAATACCATAAAACAGCCAGAAAAGTCTCTTGCAAAAAAGTAGGTTCTCAACTGACTGACTTAACCAGGCTTTTGAATGACATCACCAAAGGTTATTGCGGTGTCTGGGGACAGAAAACTTGCTGAATCCATTGAAGTTGAAGAAAGATGCTACTTACTATTTATAGTAGTTAACAAATCTGTCTAAAATGAAGAACAGTCCTTTTAGGAAATGTAAGCACTATATACATAATACATAGAATTGTGTTGGGGTGTTTTCCAAAATGCCAACCGCTCTTTGATGCCAATATGACTTGGTTGTCCTGAAAGATGTTAGAGTGGTTGGCTCAAATTCATAATCATTGTTTTCATTTTCATGGAGGTCTGGAAAATGTGGCTCAGGCAACAGACTGCTGGGTATGCAATTTAATGAGATTGTGAGCTCAGAAGTACCCCTCATAGTTCGGAAAGTAGAGTGTGGAAGTCCATTTGTGAATGATTGGTTATTTAGCAAAACTGAAGGAAGCTTATCGAAATAATTGCAGATACAAACACTCTTGTATCTGAAATGATTTGTTTTATATGCAAAGGTTCAGAGTCTTTCTCCTTTTCCTCTGGGGAAGAAATATTCTGAAATTGGTGCTGTGATTCACTTTATCAGTTGCTAAGTTCAGAGAAGAGAACCTCCTTCTTTTCAGAGGGCATGAACCCCTGACTCAGAGGTTGGCCGGCTCTGCAATCTCATTATTGGTTTTCTTTAAGGGGAAATGAGCCAATTTTACCTGTGATGCACAATGTTGGATTACAATCTCTCATCTGTACATTCTATGCCCTCGTAGTTGAAATTGTAATTCCTTGACTTACAAAAGTGTTATTTATTTTTTAACTATAGGATTTTAAATCTGTGATACGTGTATGTGTCTTTAGGTTTTCCAATAACAATAATCAGTATTCCTTATTCTTCTCTAATGCATACACTCTCCAATCTTTGCTTTGAGTCACCTTGCTTTAGAACAATTAAGAAGTCAGGTGATGGATAAGGGACTGGAGCTGTATCTGATATTACTCATCACTGGGGGTTTGGCTTTATAGAAAACGTTGACATTAAGTTGCTTATGCAGTGTCTTTTACCATTTAACATTTATTGTCTTATATTTTCTTTGCCATATAATCAGCTTAACAAATATTGCAGGATATCTTTACAGTCATCTATTCCTGGCAACTTGCAATGTATAAATGTCCTGTTTTCCAAGAATTTGTTAAATACCAGTAAGAATCTCTAATCCTTTGAGAATTTTAAAAAAGGAAGAGAGGCAGGGTTTGAATTGCAACTACAAGGCAAATCCAAAAAAAAAAAAAAATCCACCACTTTTCCACATAGCCATGAGGTGTCAGTGCATGAGTCAAAGGAAGTTGAATACTGCTTTCCTCAGTCTCTCTGGCACAAGGTGTTAACACACGTGTATTTTTCTCCACAGTAAAACCGACTGTAATTGACGTTGACATCTATGTTAACAGCATTGGTCCTGTTTCATCAATAAACATGGTAAGAAGCTCTTTTCTGATTTGAAGACCTTTATATCAGTTCTTACTTACATTCTTGTCATGAGTTTCTGTTCAAGATTTATCATGCAGGCTTAAACTCACAATGGACTTCTTAAATCTATAGCAGCGATTGGTAGTTTAAATATTGAAAATGATTTTAAAAAATCAAGGAGTGGAGTTTGTGACCCTAGTAGTGAGACATGGCTCTAGTGTTTAAAAGGCATCTCATCCAAACCTTCTCCACACACATATTTAATGCACATAGATTTTCGGATAAGATTATTTGCAATTAGGCAGTCATTGGCTATATCTGATTTCATTAATATTAAGGATAAATATAAATGACAGCTTTTTAACTTTTGGTTCGGTTTTTCAAGACCCCAGAGAGCTGCCTTTTAGTGTTTCTTAGGAAAGGATCTGAGATTACCCAGTTTATACTTTGCTCTTCAGTTTGAACTCGGGGGATAAATAAACTGCCTTATTTTTATTTGTTTATTTATTTTTGGCAGGAGAAAGTATGGCATCAAGTATATGATTTTCCTGAGTAGGGTATTTTCACAGATTTAGAAGCAAAATGAGCTCCAGAAGTAACTGCAGTGTGAAAGAAGGCCTTCCCTGTAAAAAGTGCTTAGCTATGAAGAAAGTGTTGGAATGCTGGAATACATTAGCATAAAAGTGTCCCATGAGGTGTTGCAGGCCGTGATGTGGCTCCCTGAGAGGCGTATGCAGGGTTCCAAGAGCACACATTGGCATTTGTGGACCCAGTGATGGCAGAAACTCTTGTATGCTGGGGGGCTTCTTTGTATTTTACTGCTGCACACTGGCTCCTGGATTTGGGGGAGGTGAGGATGAGGGTGGGGAATTGCCAAAATGCTGACTTAGATGTTATCTTTTCATTGCAATGTTCTGTAGATAGAAATAATCTCTCCAGAATTAGTAGCAAAATCAGTTCTTTTCATTGCCAGATATTAAAAGTGTTTATCTTTTCTCTGATGATATAAAATTTTCTATGTAGGGGTAAAATTATATTTATGGGTGACTCACATAAAAAAAACATGTTATCCATAAATTGGGGATGTGGCACTGGCAAAGAAGTGAAATGAATAAAAGAGAATTCAGTTCACACAGCCTATGTGTTGCTGATTGTAAAATGTAAATTGTAAATGTAATATTCCCTTTCTTTGCTATATAATTATTCAGTTGACCGTGTAAAGACTATCATCACTTCTTAGTTCATTTGTTTCTTATTCTGGAGTTTTATTTTCTTACATCAGTTCCACATTATTCATCACCCTATGTCTAACATTAATTTATATCTAACACTAAAAAAGAAGTGCCTCCACAGAGATATAGTTACAAAATTATTTTAGAAACAGGTGCTTGCATTTATATATCTTAGGGAATTTCATGAACTCCTGTAGCTTTGATACCTACTCAGTGCCCAGGATTAAGCTTTGCTATTGGAATTGATAGAAATTTCTGCCTGGAAGTCATAGGCTTCACAGGAGGAGGCTAAGTAAGTGATAGTCACCCACGGAGTGATAAGGACTCTGCTAATGGGCAAGCCCCCTCTTGGGAAAGCTGGTAACATTTGGAGTAGATTTCTCTGATGAGGTCTCAATCTGAAACTTGATCAATAGGCAGGTGTTTGCCAAGTGGGACAGCATGGGGAAGTCCTCAGTAGCAGTCAGGAACACAGGTGTGTGACCTGATGGAAGGAATGGGGACTAGTGTGTTGTTTGAAAAGCCAAGGGAATGGGGTGTGGCTAGACAACACTTTGGACCTGCCTGGGACTGAGGCCCTGAAGCCTTTATGAAGAGTTGGGCTTCATCCTTGGGCAGACCTTGGCATTTGGAAGTGTGCAGACCCACTTCCATCTAAGATATGTATGGGTCAAATTTTGTGAAATTGGTTTGTATCTAGCAAAGATCTCTATTCAGACCCCTTCCTCCAGGGAAGAGAGAGCACGCGCAATTACATGGCATAGAACTGACAGTGAAAAAAAAAGAAGATAGCAGGAGGGAAAGAATGAAGCGGGGGAGATCCGAGGGGGAGATGAACCATGAGAGACGATGGACTCTGAAAAACAAACTGAGGGTTCTAGAGGGGAGGGGGTGGGAGGATGGGTTAGCCTGATGATGGGTATTAAAGAGGGCAAGTTCTGGGTGTTATACGCAAACAATGAATCATGGAACACTACATCAAAAACTAATGTGTGATGTATGGTGATTAACATAACATAATCATAAAAAAAGAACATCATTATTTAAAATAATTTACTCTGATCCCTTCATCAAGAGGGGATGAATGATCTTAAATGGTCTGAGATGTTGTAAGACCTGAGAAAAATACATGAGCATCAAAACCATATATGTTCTGTGGCAGACACACCAAAATACTGCTGTTAGATTTTTAATAAGTGAGATTGAGTAGAAAGCTTTTCCAGTTAACCTCCCATTTGAAAAAATAGCTTGAATATCTTGAAAATTCATTTGGTTCAATTTTTCTTTCTTTCTAGGCGTTATCTACTGCAGTGAAAGGGGAGGCCAATAAATGTTGGTTGCCTTTTATTGATGAAAGTGAAGCAAGTATCTAGACAACAGTGGGCAAGCTGAACAATAGGAAATGCATTGCTCTGGAAATAGTGACATGTTTATAGACCGTTCTCAGCAGAACTAGAGTTGTCTAAGCTGTCCCCCTGTCTGCTTCCAAGAGGAATATTAATGTACTACTAACATACGTCAGCTAAGCAAAGCATAAAGGGTAGACAAAGTTTTAATAGATAGATAGATAGGCAAATGCTTGTTTTATAGATAGATAGATCAATTGATCAATCTAGGTATACACAGGTACATTTAGATATTCAATTCCTATGTTTCTGGGGTGAATTTCTCTATTTCCATCTTTGTTCATTCAGTAAACATTTGACATACGACTACTGTGTGTCATGCATGGTGCTGGGTGCAGGTTAAGACAAAGATGAGTGGGAGGAGCAAGTCGAGATTCATAAACAAACCATCATGCTACATAGGGGGCCAGAGCAAAGATAGATTCAATGCCAAGTGTCCCCAAAGGGGATTATCCCATAGCCCTGAGGGGTGTTTCAAGAGGCTCATGAATCAAAAGCTTCTGAATTGCTTTTTTTAAAATTTATATATTTATTTTTTAAAAAGACTTATTTTTTTAGAGCAGTTTTAGGTTCACAGCAAAATTTAGAGGAAGGTACAGAGATTTTTCCATATAACCCCTGTCTTCACACATGCGCAGCCTTACCCCATATGAACACCACCTCCCCTCAACCAGAGTGGTACATTTGTTACAATCAGTGAACCTATATATTGACTTCTTTATCAGTCAAATATCCTAGTTTACATCAGGGTTCACTCTTGGTGGTGTACATCGGTGGATTTGGACAAATGTGTGAGGATGTGTCCACCATTATAGGATCATACAGAATAGTTTTACTGCCCTAAAAACCCTGTTTGTCAGTTGCTTCTTGAAGGATGAGTATTTCTAACCTTTGTGCTCCAAACTTGAAAACGTCCAAACTTCGAAATTCTGCTTGGAAGTCAAAAGGATAAAGGGGTTCTTCTCACATTGCTGAAATCATCACATACATCCACTCTGTAACACCAAATAATGTAGTTTCAAAAGAATGTAAAGTGCTTCAAAGTGGACCTCATGAGAAGTAGAAGCAATTTAAAAGTAGAGAGTTGATGGTGTAAGTGGGTATTGGGAATTGGGTCAGCAATAATAATAAAAAGAAGAATATGAGAGAGACCAAAGCAATCAAATTAAATAATCTATTATGGGGAAAAAAGTACAATTTAGAGATGTATGTGGGATTTAACATATACATTTTTATTTGGGTTTTGACTGTGATGCTAAAGCCTGATAAAATTATGGCTTCCTCCCACCAAATATTCATTTAACAACCGAGAAAAGAGAGAAAACAATTATTTCTACTCCTTTTTCCTCTCTTCCCTCCCACTTTTCTGTTTCTTCTATTGATACTATTAATACTTAAGATTTAGTTTCAGATATTCTCTCCGCTAAATAAAAATGAAGTTGCATTTCAGTCTGTTGTTTAATAGACTGATTCTCATTGTCTTGTTTATCCTGGAGTTGTTTATGCTTTTTCTAGTTATTGAGAAGATTAGAAATGGTTCACACATGTTGAGGAGAATCTTTTTTTACAATCTTTAATCACATTCTCTGTCTTTGTCACTACAGGATATCTAAATATGCACAATTTTTTTAATTAAAAAATTTATTTATTTGAGAGAGAGCAAGAGAGAGAGCACAAGGGGGCTGGGGAGTGGCAGACGGAGAGGGAGAAGCAGACCCCCTGCTGAGCAGGGAGCCCTATGCGGAACTTGATCCCAGGACCCTGGGATCATGACCTGAGCTGAAGGCAGATGCTTAACTGACTGAGTCACCCAGGTGCCCCTAAATGTGCACAATTCTTAATAGAAATTGTGCATCATTTATTTCAAGACTGGGAATCTGAAGATCAGGACAGCTTGCACATTTATTTTTGAGAGTGATCACCATAAGCAACATTTTAGGAAAGGAAAAAAGAAAACTAATGCTTTGATACCTACTCTGTGGTATCGACCTCAACTCCTTTGATCTTCACAAGGTCATGGTAGAGAAGATACTGCTCTTTTCCACGTACTGTGTTTGTAATGAGTATGTGAAGCTCTTGAAGATGGAGATCCCGGAGCAATGGTTCCAACTATGACCAACTGCACTTCTGTAGTCAATATCAAAATACAGCTGCAGCACTTACGGAGTTTCAGCTTTAATTTGGAAGTTGAGATGGTAAAGACTCAGAGTGAGTGTAATGTTAGAATTGTTTTCCTTTTTTAAAAAAAATTAATAGACTTTATTTTTTTAGAGCAGCTTTAAAAATATTTTCTCAGCTTTGTTGAGATACAATTGACATAAAACAGTGTATAAGTTTATGGTTTACAGCTTGGCAATTGGATATATGTACA